ATATGTATATCTATATCGTTTCATTCTTAAGAAGATAAAAACTGCGCAAAACAGAATCTTAAATACCCTGGCAAAAAGGAATTCCTAAAATTCTATGTATACCCTGCACCCATTGAAAATGGGAAGTCGGGGCATATTGCTTTTGTTTCTTTTAAAAGTCGACTATAAACAGAAGCCATATAAAACTAAAAACTACTGCAATTTTCACTAATTTATGTTTGTTATGCAAAAACTATGCCACCACCTCTCTCTCTCTATCACCTCTATGCCCCTCTCTCTCTCTTTCTGTCAGGGTATATTGGCATACTCAACTAAAACAGCAAAAAAAAAACTGCTTCTAACAAATAATAAACGAAATTCCATGAAAACTAACGAAAACTAAATCTAAACAAAGTTCTAAATACACACGTACACAAATACACACACACACACCGACAATACATACACAAAGGCTGGACACGCCCACATGTTGTGCCCACAAATTAATTGCTGCCTTTTCATATTTGTGAAATAATAAAAATATTTTCAAGCCAAATATTAGTTTCCAATATAAACACACACACACATACAATTTTCTTTTTTTTTTTTTTTTTTGTTAAATTGCTGTCTGTGTTTTTATTCACATTTATTTATGACCAATTATTGATTATTTAAATATTATTTGTGGTTTTAAATTTAATATTTCATTTTCGCGAGCAAGCGATACTAATTCAAACACTATACAAATCTGTTGGACGGCTATCAAATACCCTTGCAGCTAAAGGGAAATCCAGAAATGCGCATAAATAGGATCCAGCTGTAACTCCGATCAGCCCCGTCTCAATTGGCAATTTGCATCTTATTCTGTAGATTTATCTGTGAAGGAAGTCAACAGTTGGTGAACCAGGCTGACTCATTCACATAAGTGAAACGGGCATATTGGTTTGGTCTTGCTGTCCGCTTGTCCGTAAGAATAGATAATACTGAAATATTATGATACTTCCATTTGATGTCTGTAAGAGCTCAGCTAAGAGCTTAGCTATTGAGTCAGCTTTTCAAGAATTTCTCTATTAATTGCCCAAAAAAAACTCCAACAGCTAATATGCCCGTTTTAGAGCTTTGCCAAGAAGCATCATTAACAAAACTCGACTGTTTATATGGAGAAAGAAACAGATAAATTATTAGTGAATACTTCCAGTAAGTGGTTCCGCGATTGAGTGTACAAAAAGAACTGGTTCCGCGATTCAGCTGCAAGGGCTTAAAGCAAAAGCATACAACAAAATATACAAACCAAAAAAACAACAAATGAAATAAGAATTTCCATAAACTGGATGATGGGTGGACAATAACTAAAGAAAACAAAACCTATATAAATATACATATACATATAGAGACATGTGTATATATAGTATATACATACATAAAAGGAAATCAAAACTCATATAAATATTCATATAAAATATACATTAAACTATATAGTTAATTATGATGCAT